TTTTTTTTTGGTGGAAAATAAATCTTTATTCATCAACCAAAACCAAACATACATATTTTATCATTTTCCTGCTTCTATTCTATCTTTCTAGCTTTCTCTATCTCATCTGTACGTTCATTTTCATGTACTGTTTCTATACATTTCTTTCCTTTCTAGCTATAGAGTGACTCTATCCATCTTGTTCCTTTCATATTCTTCTTCTTCTTCTGTACGCTTCCATACTCCTATATTTGCATGTATGTTGAACCTGCTTCAGCATTACTTGTGGTCTTGGCACTTTTCCTTTCCATACTGCTTCATTTCTTGCTCTCCATATTTGGTAGATTACTGCTGCCAGAACTGATCTTGTGAATGCTCTCCCTATTCTTCCATTAGCTTTTCTTGCCATCCTTTTCCATATCCCATTCACCTTAGTGTTCTTTATATTCATGCCTAGCCATTTGCAGACTTCCTTTAAGCACATCTTAGAGAATGTGCATTCAAAGTATAGGTGATCTATTGTTTCTATATTCCTTCCACACAGCATACAGTCACTATCTTCTGTTATTTTCATTCTCATTGTTCTGTCTTTTGTGAGCAGTTTCCTTTGCATTACTAGCCAGCAAATGAAACTGTGTTTAGGGATATTCATTTTATTCCACACCTCTCTACTCCATGCCCATTGTTCCAGTTCCCCTCTTCTCCAGTGGTAACTACTCTTGACTGTGTATTTTCCTGTATTTGTTTGCCATCCATTTCCTGTATACCCTGCAGCATATATATTCCTTATTGAGCATATTTTCCTCCAATACCAGCTGCTGTCTTGAGAAGGATTATGTTGCCACCAGTCCTCTCCCTTCAGGTATATATGGTTGATCCATTTGACCCACAGTGTATCTTCTTTGTTTGCTATATGCCATACATATTTAGCTATAGCAGCTTCATTCAATATGATTCAGTCCCTTATTCCTAATCCTCCTTCTCTTTTAGGTCTACATACCAGGTCCCAGGAAACCAAGGGCACCTTATTTGATATACCCTTTCCTGCCCATAGGTAGTTCCTGCATATTGCTGTGATGTCCTTAAGCACCTTCTTTGGTAGGATGAAGATTGCTGCCCGGTATGAGTGGATGTTTATTAGCACTGAGTTGATCAACTGGACTCTACCTGCATATGATAGGTTCCTTGACCCCCATGAGTGTATTCTTGCACTAAGTTTGTTGACTAGCATTTCACAATCACCTGCATTCAGTTTCCTTGCAGCTATTGGTACCCCCAGGTATTTAAATGGCAGCTTCCCTTGTGTATAGCCAGTTATTTCACATATCCCATCTAAGCATTGTTTATCCATATTTGCACTATATACATTCAATTTCCCTGCATTAGTACTCAAACCTGATGTTTCTGAGAATGTTTGTAGTCCTCTCAACATTAGCATAATGCTGCTATATTCCCCTTTACAAAACAGTAGGACATCATCTGCAAAGCATAAGTGGTTTAGCTTCAATTCTTTACATTTTGTGTGAAAAGAAAATCCATCTAATGTAGTTACCCACTGCATTATTCTTGTAAAGTACTCCATGCATATAACAAACAGGAGAGGTGATATTGGATCTCCCTGCCTCAACCCCCTTCTCCCCTCAAAACATCTATATAATCCTCCATTTATAGCAATCGAGTATTGAGTTGTTGAGATGCAAACCATTGTCCATTTGATGAATTTAGGAGGGAAATTCAGTGCATGCATCATTTCCTCCACAAATTCCCATTCCACAGAATCATATGCCTTTTTCAAATCAATCTTTATCAAACATCCGCTAGTTGATTTCTTCCTATTATACAATTTCACCAGGTCCTGACAAATCAAGATATTCTGCACTATGCTTCTACCTTCCACAAATGCACTTTGGTTCTCAGCTATTATTGATGGCAGAACTCCTCTTAACCTGTTACATAGCACCTTTGATATTATTTTATAGACTGTATTGCAGCATGCAATAGGTCTATAATCTCCTACTTCAGTTACATGATTGTTTTTTGGGATAAGGGTCAGAGTTGTTTTGTTGATCATCCTGAGCATTTTTGCTGTGTTGAAGAACTCCTTAACACTTTCAGTAACATCTTGCTTTACCACTGACCAACAGTCCTTATAGAATTGGGAACCATAGCCATCTGGTCCTGGGGACTTGTCTCCTGCTATTGACCATAAAGCTGCCTTGATTTCCTTTTCAGTTACTGGAGCTTCTAACTGTTCCCTTTGTTCTTGTTGAATCACTTGCCCTTTTCTAACCAGATTACTACAAACATGTTTCCTAT